TCAATTCAATTATTAAAGTGCTTAGTGATATTCAATCAAACTTTCTTGTTCCTTATTCCAAAGGAAAATGATGAATTAGAGCAAACAAGAAATGCAAGATGGGGAATAATTAATTCGTACCCAATTGAAAGTGTTTATATGTACATCAAAGCAATGAAATAGCTGTTTTTTGTTTTGTTTTCATAATAATGCAAAATATTCCAAGAATCAAGCAAATTTATGCAAAAACACAGTAAATATGACTGGAAAAGACTGAGTAGTTGAAGAGTCAACTAACAAATGAATAAAATATTTCAATATTTCAGGCAAACTCTTTTATTTTAATCAAAAAGGCTATGCCTTAGTGACAGCCAGGAATGAAAATTGTCTCCATATATCACACAAATGTTTAAATTTCGTATCAAACAAACAATACAACATTATTTTTGTAGGGAAACACCTGTGATTAAGTTTACCATATATTGTTAAAAATCATTTAGCTGTTGGAATATGAATATAAGCTGAAAATGAAAAGGTAGTTTGCTGTGTTCCTAGATTACCTATTAATAGTTCAAAGAATTTAGAATCTTTTCAGCCATAGCCAAATACTTTTAACAAGTAATATGGTTTAACTCAGCAGAAAACAATTTCTTTGAATTATGCCAAAAAATAATAAACATGTCACATTTTTCTCAATCGCATGATGAAAGAAAAATGCTGGCAATGATGTTGTGGCAACGACAAAGGTCTTTATGTAAGAGGAAACAGATTGCTTTGTCTCATCTTGTATGCCTATGTCGAACAGACAGCTTTCCATGGTAAAGCAAATTTGGTCCATAGATAGTTTGGTTTCTAGAATCTGGAAGAGTGTGTGTGTGTGTGTGTGTGTGTGTATGTGTGTGTACACATACGTGTATATGGTATGGTACCATATATCATATATATGGTACCCACATATGGGTATATGTAGTGTATGTATGAGGCATACATATGTATGTATATATGCCTCATACATACACTACATATACCCATATACATATATTTTTATGTATATATACACATATGTATGCCTCATACATACACCACATATACCCTCTATTATGTTTACTGTCTTGCTGTTCTCTTAATGTCTTATGTAGCCTTGGGTATGTCCATCCAGTATAGCAACACCAAAATTTCCTGCTCAATAATCTTCTTGATCCATCTCAAGCTCTTTAGAACTGTAATATCATTAGTAAGGCAATAATATTGTTATCACTCCTACAGGTTTAGGATAAATTCCTTGAGCTGAATTAATTTTCCTTTATTTTCCCTGCTCTTGATTTCTTGAAGATCTGTGTGACCTTAGACCAGCTTGTTTTCCACACAGACTTGTTAATGCTGTTGAAAGAAATGTGTCTTCCAAACATGCTCAAGGATGTTTAGAAACTTCCTATGAGTACTTTACTTATTTTCAACATTTCTGGTTTCTTATCTAAAATGTTCTATTTAGATGGCAGATTATTGAATCTGATAACCAGTAAATATAATAACCAATAACTAAACTCAGTGTTAGGTTTGTTTTTTTTAACGTTTATTTATTTTTGAGACAGAGACAGAGCATGAATGGGGGAGGGTCAGAGAGAGAGGGAGACACAGAATCTGAAACAGGCTCCAGGCTCTGAGCTGTCAGCACAGAGCCGGATGAGGGGTTTGAACTCAACGGACCACAAGACCACGACCTGAGCCTAAGTTGGACGCTTAACCGACTGAGCCACCCAGGCGCCTGTGTGTTAGTTTTAAACTTACTTTTATTAGGCCAAAACACACAAAAGTGCTATATTTAGAGTAAAAAAGGTTTAACAATAGTCATTTTATATTTCAACATAACATTTCCTTCTTTACCATGAAAGACACAAAATAACAGTCAAAGGCTTGGTCAGAGTAAAACAGATAAGACTTCAAATTATAAACCAGGCATTTATGAGCTGTTTGATTATGGATAATTATTTGATCTTTGTTCTGCCTCAGTTTCTTCATCCGAACATTAGGGATATCAGCAGTCTACGCTGCATTGAATCCTAGTGAATATTAAAGGAACTAAGGTACACAGATATTGTTATAGAGTGAGTGTTCAGAAAATATTAGACTGATTATTAACATTGAATTTAATAAATAGTTTTATTATCTTTCCTAGTCTTTTATTATTCCTCCTGAATTTCCTGGTGAGTGCTCCTGGTTTACATGAACTGCTCTTGCAGTCCTGGCCATAACATTTTAACATAACATCTCATTCGGTTACTATGAGCATTATGAGGTTTATGGGGTAGGAATTGTTATTCCCCTTTTCCAAATGAGGAAACCGTGTTATGATACCTTTTCAAAGACTGCACAGAAAGTAAAAGGCAAATCCAGAATTAGAATTCTATTTTTTTTTTTACCATACTCGCTTTTATAAGGTCATTTTAAATGGACATTCCTGGGCAGCAGATAGTTTAACACTGATGGCATTGGTTGACATGATCATTTTGAAGAGGTCTCCATCTCATTTGTTATAAACGTCTGGAATAGCAGGCACTTATGTAGCAATAATATGTACCCATACTATATAATATATGTATAAACGATGTAATTCTACCATATACATAACAACTCAGTGAGACTGGCACTTTTATTATCCCTCCTTTACAAGAACACTGAGCACCAGTAAGCAGTGAAACCAGGATTTGAAAGGGGGCAGTTTGCCTCCAGGGCTAACCAGTATGTCATATTAACTTTTAGACAATAAATTATACTGCAAAATGACTGCCTTTAAAATTTTCATTGCTGCTCAAGCAGTAAATTTCAAACATGTCACATTGTTTCTAACAAAACAAAACCCCCAAGCCCAAAGCTTTGCTCGTTGAAATTTTATACGCTCAATAGAAATGATTTTCTAGATTTGTACTCTCACAGGCAAGACTGCTACATTAATTTGCAGAACTGGGTGCAGAATGAAAATATAGGGCCTCTTGTTAAAAAGTAAAAATTCAGTTGGGATGTAACAGTAGAACATTATGACAAGTGTGTGGTCCTTTACAGCATAAGGTCCTATGTCGCTAAAAGGTAGCACACCCATGACATGAGCCCTGTTCACAGAGCACATAACTCTGACTCTGGCCTTGATTCTGTTCAATTACCTCCTGTAGATCTGAATAAAGACTCATAACATGAAAAGAATGGAAGTAATGGAGACCTTTTATTAAATCCGCCCCATAATGACTCCAGCTTCTCCATTATAAGCATCCTGAGGCAATGGGACCTTTGATGAAGAAGGACATGGAAGGGAAGTAAGACTACCAGGCCACAGATCTGATCACTCCTTCTACAAGAAAGCAGAAGTATAGACCGTTTTTCATGTTAGCAGTCCAGAGTCAGGATGTGGGGAGAAGAAAGAGGAAGTTCTGGTGAATTTATACCACCCCACAAGGAAGGAATAGCACTTGTCTCTCACCAGAATGGTGCAGAAGCCTGTGAGATATATCCATGTGTCCATGGTTGTTTGGAGGGAAGTCATGTTAGTTTATGTTTAAAATTAATAAGCCTGGACCTGGTCATCCAAACGCTTTGGTTTTTGCCCTTTTAAAATTATAGACAAAAATGATGTTTTCAGTCTTTTTTTCCTTTTATATGTAGAAAAGAGCTGCATTTTTGAAAAATAGCTCTCATTAATTCTTGAACTTTGAGTCAATCTGTGGTGTACATTAAAGTTATTGTCATTCAATCTTGTAGGCAATCAAGAATCAGAGCTGGTGATTTTAAAATCAAAATACATAGGTTTAGACTCAGGTTGCTTTACATACAGATTCTGTGATCTTGGGAAAGTTGATTGACCTCTCTGAGCTTCTGTTTTTTCATCCATAATATGGAAAATTTTTAAAAACAAGAGAGAAAAACCTCAGAGTTTTTGTAAACATCCATTACATAAAGGTACTTAGTGCAATACCAGGAATATCATAAGAACCCAGCAAATTATGGAGACATTATTTGAAATAAATACACATGCATTTGACATATAAATATACTTATATTTCATGCATATATATATACTCTTAAGTATGTTATATATGTATATATGTACACATATTTTATATATACATATATATATTTTAAGTTTCTAAGTTTTGGGCTCTCATATATTGGAGAAGGGGAAATTCTTGGCTAGAAGAACTGACTCTAATAGAATTTCTTTTGGAGCTTCTGCCTGTCACTGCTAACTCAACATTCAACTTTATCACGGTCAAATGAAATTACTACTGCTTGTAAAATAGGGACTTTCTCAGCATAAACCTTATGCTTCAGATCAAGCAGAATGAGTGTTTATTTGAATATAAATCTAATACAATCCTCAGAAAAAGCCAGGTGTGCTTCCTGTCCGAAGTTGTGGAAGTGTGCTTTCAGGTGCTATGCTAAGCATTGATTAGAATATATGAAATGCCATGTATTGAGGTTATCTTAGGTAGACACCACCTCTCTCCCTAATACCTAGCCATCTGATGTGTGTGTGTGTGTGTGTGTATGTTTAATGTGTCTCTTGATTTTAATCACAGAAAATAAAATGGGAAATCCCTGAAACTCTAGTGTCCCTTTTGCCGGAACACTAACAAAGCATATACCCAAATTTGCTTTCAAAACTTCAGTTTTATACCTCCCTCAAAATTGTTGATAATAGCTGTTTAGTTATATGCCCAATATAGAATTCATCAAAAATTGTCAATTTGAAAAATAAAGAAAAAGCATAAAAAAAGCAGAAGCAATTGTATATCCAATATAAACTATACTAACTTTCAATATGCAAGTAAACGTGAAAATGACCAATGCTTCTCTGTTGTTTTGACAGTGAATAAGATGATTTCAACAGTAGTCTTTTCAAAATCTGTTTGTGACATGAGTAATTCGTTTTGTGTTTCAACTTCACAGGAATTTCCCCTTGAACTGGACTTGGGAGTTCAACTGAATAAATTATTTCTGGGCTTTTGAATTATTAATCTTGTCTGCATGGTATGCAAATTAGGCTTCACTATGTCCAGTGGCACAGTCTTGGGTTAGAAGCTGTATCAGGTTGCAGGCAAAGACTTTCCGTCAAGGGATCAGGGCCTTCCAACAGAATGGTAAGTTATAATGCAACTCATGTCACCCAGGTGTACAAAGTAATGCCAGACTTCCCTCAGGGGTTTCTTTTTAAATGGCCTATAAGCAGTTAAGGTTTTAAATAATGTTTAAATGAACTGTCTGAACTGTCATTCATAACATGAAGAACAATAAAGGAAACTAAAAGGAAGTCATAATTTTTTCTCCTACATTTATTTTTCACTAAATTGAATGTCTTTTTTTAATTGCCAAATACTAAATTTATTTAAAGAGGTTTATTACATTTGCTAATGTCTTGGTAACGTATTTCAACAAAAAAGAGTAATCAGATTTGCTTAAATGTAACTACTTACAGAAAAAATGTAAAGTTTCTAAATTGTATGACAAAATCAACCACATGTAATATTTCACGTTTAGAAAAGAATATGTTAGAGGGAATCTTAAGTTATTCTAAAGATTAAATTTAGCATTTATGTTAAAATTACAATTACGGTTGCAAAAGTTACAATTTTTCAAGAAAGTAATTCACTAAGGAAAAATGACAAATTGCAGAAGCCATTGCTATTTTACCTTCCAGAACTTTTTATAATTGGTGAGTTTTTTAATTCATAAACATAATTTGGTACTTTACTTTTTAATACCTTGACTTATAGTATAAATTCTGGAATATACAAAAAAAGAAGTTATCAATATTAAGTGATTGTATCTTTTCAGTGTGAATATATATTTTTTCATTCAAGTTGTTTATTACTGAAAACAGCAATTTGTTAAAAAAGACTCATACTGCCATGTAAATTTGCCTTAAAGAAGCAGTTAAGGTTTAAAATGCATAAGTAATCTTTGTTTACTTATAATGATTGTAAAAAACAATTTAAATGCTAATAAGCTGTCAAATATATTTTTAAATTTAAGCTTCAATAGTGTACATTTTTAAAAGACTGAATACAATTAAGGTGAAAGAAACATTAATCCAAATTAAAAATGAGTACTACTTATCTGCTTATGTGTGTATTGACTATTGCTTGTAATTTAATAATTCTAACAGGTTTAGATATATGTTTGGATACATAATTAAAGATTTCACTTCAATCACCAATAGCTAAAATAAATAAATAATTCACCCAAAACAGTTAAAACCTATTTATCATGATTTCTATTTCCTAAAAATTAAAAACACAACCACGAGAAAGTGGAACAGAGAATATTAATTTTTCATGAAGGAATATCCCTTCAACTGAGAATTTTCCTTAAAGGATCAGCTTACTTCATCAATTTGTAGAATTATAATGGCCACACTAAAACACATTAGACTATAAACATCATCTAATTTGGACTCTAGCACCCAGAAAATTATGGGTCTCAATGAGACTTAAACTGGCCTGCAAATAAAAGACAGCCTGACCTTCATGAACCACCATTTATTAAGGACTTAAGAAAATTACTTTAAGAATGAAATAAAGTACCAAAAAGCAGATTATAAAATATCATAAAGAGGATAATCTCATTTCTATAAAAAATAAATTCAAATAAATATTAAACTGTAAACAGGTATCCAGATATGAGGACTAGTTGGTTTACAGACAATTAATTTTCATTCCTTCTTTTTGCCTACCTGTACCTTCTTAGTGTTACAGAATAACATTCATTTTTCAAAGTTATTTTTAAAATAAAACTAAAAATATAAAGCACCTGCTCTGAGAAGCAAGACAAAGGTGACTAGTCACTCAGTTTCCTTATTCCAGTTCTGATGTGCTGTATCCCTGCTACTTCCCTGAATCTCCATTGCCATGGGACAGCTTGAAGCAGAAGAAGCCTTCTCCATGGCGTCAGCACGGCCCCTGACTTGCCCCAGTGCTAGTTATTGGGAATCGGGCACATGCAGTAATGCACGTCTTCATAGCTGTCTTTTTCTGCAATAGCAGTGAAACCTTCCTGCGGCACAGAAGCTACTGACGTCAGCCCATGCATTTTAAGAACTGAGTAGTCAGAAAAATAAGAGAGAGGACTAGAAAAAGAACTAGAAAAAGTGGAAATTCAAAGCGGAACAACTGAGTCTTAAGGAAACTTTCTATTGTCTTACTATACCTTTGAGTGTGTGCACCTGCTTTTTTGAGCACTCCCCAATAACGAAGTTGCCCAGATCTGAGCTCTGAGGAGCTCCAACATTTGAAGCTTGGGCAAATAGTCCACAAAGAGAGAAAGGAGGATAGTGAGAAGACTGCCATGTCATAGAAAGCAGGGAAGAATGTACTTCCAGAAGTCATGGAGCTGAAAGCATCAGGGAATAGAGTTAAAAATAATAGTGGCAAATTGCCACTGACCTATAAAATAAAGCCTATATATATCTTTAAAAGACCATTAATTTTGTTGCTGTATTTCTAGAAATCCTAATAATATCAAATACATGTTGATTTGGGGAAACAAATAGAAAGTCCAGATAAACTGACTCTATTATATACTATATATATACTATATATATATATATATACACTATATATATTACATTATA